TGAAGAACGGACAGCCGACGCATCCGCGTCAGTGAAACAGACATCTCTCCAAGGAAAGGTAGAGAAGAAGTCTCTGAGCCCCTCCCAGTCGGCATGTCCATAATGCCAAGCTTTGCGGCCTGTACGAGTTTATGCAGCCACAGCGGGTTCTAACCGAAACCTAACCTGCACAACACACAACATCCTGGTTTGAGTTACCCAGGGGAGACAGGGCAGCAGTGCTGCAAGGGACAGGATGCGTAGTCAGCAGGCTACTGACATGTGACGAGTCGCGCGGGAAAAAAGTAGGGGTCGTCACCAGCATTATGGGCATAGAAATCACCGAGAAAAACTACCTCTGAAGCGGGGTGATTGATCTTTAGGATGTCGATCTTGACGGCGAGGTATTCAAGTAGGTCATCCCAGTTATGGTCCGAGGGAGAGTGATAAAGGCAGCAAATAAAGTGTAGAATTTAGCCACCTTACTGGGATATACGAGGAATTTTTTAGCGAATGAGCAGCACAACGTATCGTCTCACAGGTTCTTGAACTTTTGTGGATGTGTTATTTTAATACAGTTGTCATGTGATGGGTAGAATGCATAGGGGATTTGGGCCCAGAATTCTGGTATTCGCAACAATTTTAATAAATTATGTGAATCTTTAATAATCTCCAAAATCACATATTGTGATTTAGTATCCTATCCATTTCTAGATTCAGTTTCAGCTAAACGTCTAAAAAAAATTCAAAATTCATGTTGCATGTTGATTTTCAACTTAAGCATATACTCGTATGATCATATTAGTTCATGTTTCGAACCGCTGAGCAGGTTGAATGTTGCAACATTGTATAAGCTTCATTTATTATGCTATGTTCACAAACTCCTACGTATATAGTGGATACCAAATAAAATCCGATGCACGTCATAGGTGATGTCATTCATAAAAATCATGGTTACCAACAGTTGACTACATTCAATGTGACATTTCTACTTGAAGTTTAAATTTCCCCGTCTCGATTCGGTTGGTAGTGCCGTGCAGAGAAATGTGAGGTTGCCACTTCTCATTTGTTGACATCAGTTGCCATTGTCCTTTTGTTCTTTATTGTTTAGTTTGTGAGTTTTGCGCTATTTGAGATTTGAATCGTTGCCTTGCCAATTAAAAATTGTTCTTTTCAGAACAACAGTTACTGTGAAGTGGTGTAAAGTATCCAAAATGCCAAAACAACTTAACAGTCGGTGTAAAGAGCTCATATCATTGAATATCTACCAAAATCAGGTGTTTTTATTCAGAAAGGAATTTAATTTTACAACAAGTTTATTTATTTTTAATATAATGGTATTATAGTAAATGGTAGGTATATATAAACAATTTATTTTATTAAATTTATTTGCTTAAAAGAAAATGTGCAAATTCTGGCAACAGCGCACCGCTCCAGATCGATGACGTGCATCGGGTTTTATTTGGTATCCACTATATATCCATTCAAGAAACATTCGATTCACTGACACTTTAACTGTGCCTCGTTACAAAACTTCATTATTTCATAAATGCTTTACCTATAATGCCATGAATCTATATAATGTATTACCATCGACTGCTAAGCATCTTGATTTCAATAATTTCAAATAGCATATTAAACAAATTATCTTTGATGCTTGAATCTGAAACTCCCAGTATGTAGTTCAGCCATATTTCTGCATATTATATAAATCGTTTATGTAGTTTTCTCTTTCGTTTTGTAGACTCATGTATACGATGTATCCAAAAGGTAAATTTTGGAAGAATATTTTGTTAAAATAATTTTCAATATTCTAGTACTAGTTATTTTCAAGGGTTAAGTGGTAGAATAGCTTGTGGCTAAACTTCGCCTTAAATAAAATTTCGATTATTATTATTATCTTTTTTTTCTAGTCTATGTTACGTATAAGATGTAGAGTCAGACTACTTGAATATGGTTTTTATTCAACAGCGATAGTCAATTATTATCAGATAATTAGAGAGTAAATTATCGAAAATTCGTTTCCACGATTTCCGTCAAGGTCTAGTACGCAACCACTACTACACTGCAATTAGAACAGAAAAAAATAATTACATCCTGAGATGCAAGGTTATATGAATATTGTAATTTAGACTCTCGGTACGCTTAAATAAATCAAGGTATTAAATAACAATGTTCTTACTTTGTAGCGTGCCTTATTATTATTATTAGTATAGTATTACGGTTTGCTGTAACTCGAACATATGTCACAAGGATTGTTCTAGACTGTGACATAAAGCATACCATGGCCTTGCCTAATTCCAGAACATTGTTTACTAATATTGATTAAATGCCTATGCAAAGTCAGAAAGCTAGTCTTACCCAGTAAGTACACTCTTATAACTTAAACCCTCGAGCTTTCTTCATCGTCTGGAGTAAATCAGCGAGATTGTTGCTGAAATTATTTTTTCCCAACAGTGAAGGGAACACATAGTCGACGAATAAAAAACTGGACCGATGAGGTTCGATTAGGAGGGAATTATTTTACTATTAAATGGCAAATCATTTTAAAAGGTTTTTTTAATTAAAGGTTGATTGATTTTGGAAGAAATTTGGAGATTTTAAAACTATCAACTATTGAAAATTCCTTCGAGATTTTATCTTTTTTTCACTGATAACCTCCACATTATCCAACAATAATTTCAGCAACAATCTCGCCGACTTACCCCAGACGATGTAGACATAGATCTTAGAAAGCTTGAGAGTTTAAGTTATAAGAGTGTACTTTTGCAATACTCTGCCTTCTACCCAAAGAAATTAAAGGATATCTTCTCCGAACAGTTAAGGCAATTAACTATGAATACTATATATATATATATACAGGGTGTCCGCAAAGTTGGGGTTTTCCTTTACACGACGTGTAGATCTTGAAAACATAAGCAATTTTTCTTAGGACCATATACACCAATGTCTTAAGGGAACCGAAATAAAGGGCTCTGCAACATCAAAAATATATGAATAGCCGCGACATCACCGACTGGTACAAGGTCACTGGCTCAACCCGACGACAGAACTGGGTCGGAGTCAGTATGTCAGGTCAGTATGCAACGTTCAACCGACGGTTACGGTCACGCGTGTACAGGTAATCGCGTAGACGAGAATCCCTCAACAAGCACTAGAGACGTGGCTAGAGAAGTGCAAGTATCAAAAACTAAAGTGTGGCAAACGCTGCGTGTAGAGGGGCTGTATCCGTTTCACGTCCAACGTGTACAAGCCCTTCAACCTGACGATTTTCCAGCAGGAGTGCAGTTTTGTGAGTGGTTGTTGCATCAACATGACAATAATCCGGACTTTTTGAAGTGCATATTGGTGACAGACGAATCTACGTTCACGCGTAATGAGGTGAATAACTTTCGCAACACTCATGTTTGGTCAGTAGAAAATCCGCACGCTGTCCGTCGCCAAACATTTTCGGTGAATGTTTGGGCTCGCATGGTGAACGGTATGCTCACTGGACCATTTATTCTCCCAAATCGATTGGACGGGATGCAATACCTAGACTTTTTACGCAACATTTTTCCTTCCTTGTTAGAAGATGTGCCATTAAGTGTAAGACAATCAATGTGGTTTCTGCGTCTGCTCGGTAGCGCCTCAGCTGATTTCATTTTCTGTTGGAGCGGTATGATTTCGGGCAGAGACGTACTTAGCCCTTCTCGTCAACTGGAGAGTGAGTACTTTTACCTTTATTTTTTTTTTACTTGGTCGCCCTCGTTTCACTACACATTACCTTTGTTATTTCAAGGGTAGTTGTTTCTGAAAAGGAAAACCCCAACTTTGCGGACACCCTGTATATATATATAGTTATCTTCGCAGTTTTTGGCGGGTCATAGTAAAGCTATTACTTCACACCTTCCTCAAACGTATTATGCAATCTGCCCCTGTACATTTGGTAAACCTACAGAAGGGAGAGTTTTTTTACAGAGGTTTTTGTATTCCGGTAGAATACGTTTATAAATGGTATTCCTAATAACAATAAATTCATGCATAAATTGCCAGATTAGAGCTTGTTCTAATTTTTGGTCATTTTTTATGGAAATTCTAGTGTCTTTTGGTTCTTTTTTCTAGATACCAACCTTCGTTATTTGACCCGTTCACATTTTGTGATTTGAGATTAAAGTTATAATCCTTACAGTTTGGCCAGATGCTTTGGTTTTAATTTAGATCTAATATTTCACCAGAAGCAATCAGTATGTAAATATTTGTATTAGCTAGGTTCATCATACATAGGATGTGTTTTGGTATTTTCTTTCCCTAGGGTTGGTACTATGGGTGTTGATATGCATGACTTAAATTAAATATATTGAATAAATTAGATCACAAATTTCGCTACTTGTTACCTAAAAGAAACTCATCAATTTTACTTACAATTTATTCGTGAATTTATTTGATTGTTTAAAGTGACTCTAATATTATGTTTGTCACTGTTCGTCTAACAATTCACTTATCATGGGCGTGCAATTTGTTGTTCTTCATAATTTATAACACATAACACTGCCATATACAACTAGCGGACAGTATTGACAATTTTTGCTGAATTTTGCTACGCTAAAAACCGCTTTGCGCAGTGTGCTTTTTTCCTCACGAAAGATTAGCTTCGTATATTGTACAATTAGTCGATTTGTTTACTTATTTCGTATGACAAAGATACGTTACCGATCTATTTTTAGACTAATAAACTTTTAATTTTGGAAAATAGTTTGTTCAGTACATGAATCCAGTTCATTCCTCGTATTTATTTTTTTCAAACTTCTGCTGGCTATCATTGTTGGGTTTTATGAACCCTCAATAAAGCACACAAAGTAGATAATGGTACAACTGAAGCTTAATTAGGAAAAAGAAGAGCACTCTGTTTTGCGTATTATTCCAATATATGCTACTAGTGATTTTGGAATCAAATCCGAAAATAATTTGATACCTTTGATGTCTACTGTATCTCAACTAGTCCAAATGATTGTTACTAGGTAATAGATCTAACGTCAAGAAATTGTCAAATTCAATTTGTGTAAAGTGCCAGCGTTCACAATATAGGAAAATGTTATTTTTTTAGTTCATTATTGAAACGAGTATCTCGAAATGTTGGACAGCTGGTTCAGTTTACCAGTGTTCCCTCTTACGTGGTTTTTGGAATACCTACCAAGTAAGTGCAGTTGTTCAAATATTTCACCATCTACGAGGGGATACATCTTGTTTAGTCGAAACGCAATGTATGCATTTTTTATATTTACTATATTGTTAGTCTAGGGTAAAAGAAGTTATTAATTACATTATTCAATTATTATCTATTACATTATTTGACGTTATGATAGTCAATTTGTAGAGCAAATAAACAGGGTGAATTTCGTAAAATTGTGAAATTTGGTTTTTAGGTGGGTTCAGATTTGCAATGACCGCTTGCATCTTCTTAAAAATGATACGAGATGTGTACGATATGAAACAGAATAAACCACAGGGAGTATTGCGGAACGAACCGAAAAGTAAGAGAAGAAGAGTGAGCGACCACGGTGACTACGAAACTATGAAAGAATATTTCCATCCCATAGATGACGGTAATTCATCTTAATGTGTATTCTAGCTTTTCAAAATTAAAGTGTGAATCTAAGGAATTAAATTAATTGGTAAAAAAGTCTTTATTTTATTGATAAGAATTTTATATCATCTGTTGTTACACACAGCAATATTACATTAAGCCTGGTTCATGTGACCTGAACTAGTTACTGCACTTTCTATATTTTATCGGATGTTCGCTTAACAGGTATTTGAGAAAAACGTTAGCTTTAAAATAATTCTCAGAATCCACGCTTGAATTCTTGTCGCATGTTTTGGTAGCATCCTGTATATTGCACACCTTTTCATTCGCCTGGTAGTTACTTAGCGGTGTCACAATCCCCTGACAATTATATTTTTCTACTCAATGTAGGAACTGCATCATGTTAAAATTCATGTTTCAAACGTCAAGTTTGTTTTTTCAATTTTTTGGCTCAAAGATATAAGGCAGCGAGTGCGACTTGACAGATCGCCGTTGCTATACGTAACATGCTATGGATCATTTCTTAATAAATGCTAACTTTTAAACATAACCATGGTTTATAATTCTGCTTGGGAGTAAATATACATATTGCCACTAACTCTTCCGCTTCCATTCATAATCCTATGCTTTGATCCAATTTGAGTTGAGTATTTTGATTCGGACAGATTTTGGCCTTTGATGAAGATCTACATATAGAAAAACTTTAGATCAGGATCCAGACCTTATTCGTATCATTCAAGCTATATGTCTAACCTGTCGAGGTTGCAATAATTGTCACTGTTCCTAGCTAATATTCATGCGTTTTCAGGTCGCATTTCGCTGAAAAATGTTTTCTTTATTAAAATTTTTTCTTTATAAAGTCATCTAACGGATCCGATAAAAAGCGTTTCATGAGTAGTGACATTAAGTAGTTGTGTTTAGGTATAAGGGCTTTCTACGAATTGCGGTAATTCACTGGTGCTATGTGGTAATGGGCCATGGTATATACAGAAGGGCCTTGCGCCATGGCTCGGTGAATATAATAGTGCAGTAACATATTTCACAATACGGTGGCCGCTACCACCTATCAGGATAGAAATCTACGACTACAGGCCCGTAGTTCGTTGTGTGTACCCAGTACGTATGTTCTTTTTTTTGGAAACAAATCTTTAATATTCATTATATATAATTTTTTTAGAAAACAAAGTTCTATAATCTTTGTTTAGATTACTGGTCTCTAAAACAACAATATCTAAAGTGCGAATTTTAGCTACAATAAATTCAATAGTTCAAGTGACTTTTGAGTGTTTTTACATAATTTCTGAATAAATGTACATTCTTTATACTATTTGGTAGAGTATTGTATGTTTTTACTGCATCAGTGACAGGGTTTATTTATTATTTAATCCCTTATTAGTTCGAGTAGGAATACAAATTATGTGATCTTGTTTCGTAGTCATGCATATTACGTGTGATCAGAACTTTTATATTATACTTTTGTTTGTTATTTAAAATTTTAAAAATCATTTTGCATTGTTCTAATTCCAACATCTTATCTAGTTTACTAACATTTAGTTATATGTATATATTATCCGTGTTGGCAAGTCGGTCATAGTTGAACAAAATTATTAATATTCTATTTTGCGAAGCTTGTGCTTTATGAAATTCAGTTTTATCCACATTCCCAAAATAGGTAGTATATAATATCTAAAGTGTGTCAAGGAAAATGCATTATAAATGTTTATTCTACTTTTTGTAGATAAGTAGTCTCTGCTTCGGTACAAAGCAGCTATCATCGACGTCGTTGTATCTAAAAAAAATTTAATGTGACTAGACCAATTCAAATTGTCATCGATAATTAAGCCCATGTATTTTATGCTTGATACGTTTTCTAATCATTGTGCGGGAGCAACTGAGTAGTATCAGTGAGGCACCCTAGGAAGTCATGTGACTTGTACATATTCAAGAGCTCTGCTGTTGTAGAATATAATTGAACCATCTGGTCTAACTGACGAAAAAGAAAACGAGTACATGCTTTGAGTTTTGTGCGGGTCATCTACACGTCTCATCAATTTAATACGAAAATAAAATGAAAAGTGCTATGTCATGAAAAATAGAATAATTTTTAATTCTACATATTTGTCTAGTAGTCTAAGGAAATTAGCTCAAAAATCCTCGGTCAGGCTAAAGAATTCATGTACTATAAACCTATTCATTGGCTCGTCCAGATAAATATACTAAAACCTACAGCGAGTTATCTTTCGTTTCGTGCAAGGTCTGTACGTTTTTTGCACTTCAGTAGTGATGCATACTTGACACAAAACAAATGTCCTACGGACCGCCTTGACACACAATGACGAATAGAAAGCGGATACATATGCAATAAGTCGGACTAGTATGTCAGGTGGTGTACTTAGATAGGAAGAAGTACGCGGATCGAAAACATTTCTGTTAGTCAAGTTTTAAAGGCAAATTTACGTGTATATTTATGATGTGTGAAATATGGCTAATAGGTTGATAGAATTACTGGGGTTGGGAGTGTATAAATCTACTAAGATCGAAAATGTTTTATACAACATCCTCCCTACTACCCCCAACATCCAAATTTTAACCCGTAGACATTTTTTTCTAAAAATGATTAGGACCCTGGAAAACCTCGAAAAACGGAGTATGAGCGATTTTTTGTTTCTGTTTTTGGCCTTTGGCATAGTAGTAACATTTTGTGAAAATTTCATCAAAATCCAAGAGGTAGTTGTCTTGTTGTAGGCGGTTATAAGATTAGCGGACATATAACATCTAAAAAAACATACTAGTATTTCATTTTCGAAATTTTTGGTGATTGCAATACGTCCTCTCGCAGTGGCGTAAGAACTGAAATACAAAAAACATGACTGCAGCAAGGAACCTTACAACACCAACGTCAAAATCTATTAAGCCATTCCACCTGTAGTCCGTGAAATAGAAATGCCATGGTGGACATACAAGATGTCTCCAAATTTATTTTGACAGTGCGAGTATAACATTTTACGAAATCAAACAGGCACACAATCCAAACAGCTTGATAGATTTTGACATTTGAGGTGTCTTTAGATTCGTCTTGATGGCATAATTGAATATTAATTCTTTTCGGTTGCTGCAGTATGACTTTTTGTATTTTTTAAAAATGTAATTGCTGTATTCTTAGCAACTCAAGCTTCTAAAATATGTTATTGATTCTACAGTATGTCATAATTTGTTACAAATTTAATGTAGATTATTAATGGAACAGGAATCATAAAGATATTATTAATAATAAAAAGTATAGAATAGGAGCCTTGACTAACCCCCTTTGTGGCCCGGTTATACATGCTTTTCACAAAGGCTCCCCTCTTACTTATATTCTGAATACTATATTTTAAGTTAAAAATAATAGTTAAGAATTCCAAAATGGCGGCTGGATCCCTATGGGCCTCTTTGACTGACTTGATCCGTCTGATTTTCCTGTTTTCTCAGAGTGTCTAGACTAGAAGGTGCCGAACATAATCTTTTATCCTACTTGAAGATATTTTTATTCAAATGGTCTCAATGCTTACTCGATGCTTTCGTTCACCACTAGTTGTAATGCAGATTATAATAACTTACCTGTGTATAAGATTTTACACCTTTTATATGACTGCGGGTCTTTGTTAATTGGTATTAGAACCACTATACAATTGCAATCAACGTCGTCCCAAGACTCATACAGTCGCAGAAGAACTAGTCTAAAACTAATTCTCGTCATTTACTATCCAGTAAATGGTCTATTCTAAAGTTTTATTGTATTAGAAAGGCGGCCGGTAACATTACAGTCATACAAAATGAAATTAGTATACAACTAATGAAACAAAGAATGTGAAGATTATTGAATATGTAATTTAGAAGATATTCCAAGCCGTATCCTGTAAAAATCGGTTTATTGATAAAATTACAATGTCACCTTGTAACAAAGTTTAATAGAAGCATACAACTATAGCCGGAATTTGAAAATAACCATAAGTGAGCCACCAAATAACTAACGAAACGATTTTGCATATTTTTGAATTCGCATTACATTAGCGTTATATTTATTCATCCTTCTCGATTTTCAAAGAGGTAGTACGATAGGCGAAGGTCTGTATATAGCCTAAAATTCAAACTTCTCCTATTATAGACCTAGCCCAAAACGTTTAATTAACAGTTGATCAAAGTATATGAAAGTTTTCTAGTCCATCTCTGTAGCTTCTGCGGTGGCCATCAGTGTCGGCATATGACCGGACCGGTCTAATTCACCGGTCATGTTTATGGACTGCCTACTTTGTTTCAATTTTCATGGTGAACGATAATTACGTCTGCGGACGGGAAATATTGTAGATTTTTCGTGGAAATGGACATATTTCACCGTCCGGGGACCCGCCGCGCCCCCTACAGGCATAAAGAGTAAAAGGACATAATTCATATCTGACGCTCGATTTGCCTACAATCGAGCCTACGGCGCGATGAATTGCAGAGTTAATTATGCTTGGTGTTACGTGAGAAAGGAGAAGGTAATTAGTTTCTGGTTGGACAAGTTCCAAGAATGGCGAGAACAATATTTACAACTATGCTTATAGTGCAACCATATTTCAGCTTGAATAGTTCAAATGTGGCTCATCGAGTTATGTGTTTTTTTCAAATTTTCACATTGCCCTTTAAAAGAAGTGAACCACTTGTGGAATTTTTTATCAAAATCTGCCTTCCCAACACAAGACAGCCGCCAACTGCAAGAGCTATTGGGAAGTAACTTTCAGGCAGAAGATCTTCCTAATATGATCCTTGTCATAACAAAAATCTCGGTACTTCAGACCTCCTAGTCTTAGTTTTCAGATTTTAGGATAAAATAAATGAAGCGTTCAATGGTGCGTCTTACTCAAAAAGCTACAAAATTAAAAAAAACATATTTAGGACACAATACCAAATGATATGAAGCTATAGGTTATGAAAATGATTAAAATATAGACTCAGATATTAAGAAACAGTAGTTAGTACAAAAACATTAAAGATGTAATGACATAAAACCTTTTCCAAAGATGATAATTTTGTTTTTAAAAAATTGACGAAAACAAGGAAACCTATAATGAAAACAATACACCAAAGATGTCGCAAGAGATGTAAAACATTCCCTTATGTGACATATATAATTTTTAATCTGTCTTTAACTTGTCTTGTCATATTTTATATAATTTTAACCATTGTACCATGTATCCAGCTTTCACCATGTTACTGGACGTTTCCCTCATCCTATACGAAAACAACAATTAGCAACATCCTCACATCCAACATCCTCCTGATGATGATGGCAACTTCCATTGAAAGCTAGAGAGAATTAAAAAAAGTATAAAGAGTCCTCTTTGCTTAAATTTTGTCGAAGTACCCAACAAAAGGCGGAAGCTTTAATTTTTCACCTATATATATATATATATATATATATATCGATGCATTTTTGCCAAAGTAACGTAAGTGACATTTTTGATGAAAATCATGTTTTTCCATTAACGTAAGGCTTTTATTGTTGGGAAGGTACTGCCAAAGTGTAGGAAGCCTAGATTTTACTTTAAACCTTTGTTTTTAACTTTTTTGAAAACGTATGTCCAGAATTTTTTAAATCATATCCGTAAAAGAAACGTAACTTTAACACTATTTCCATCATAGTAATGGAAGCTAACGTTTGTTACCGCCATAATAACGGTCCCGGTCGGTTTCTGCGACTTACGTCAGATTTTCGCAGTCTGTGTTTGGCTTACGACAGTGTTAGGTTCGTGCTACCATCGACTAATTATTGATTTTAGGTAAGTAAATAATAACGACATTTTTTTATAGTTAGAATTCAAAACTATTACAATCTTAACTGATATTATGTAGGTACATACCTATAAAATTCCATTTCATATTCAATTTCGTTTATTAATTACAAATGATTCTGTGATAACCTCAAGGTCTGTGAGAAATTTGCAGGAATGAATCGGTTGAAGTTAAAAAAACGTTTTTTTGTAGTTAGAATTTAAAAATATTAAAACCTTAACTAATATTATGTACCTACCTATAAAACTCCCATTTCATATTTAATTTCGTTTATTTATTAGAAGTTATTCTGTCATAACCTCGAAGCCTGTGAGAAATTTACATAAATGAATCGGTTGAAGTTAGAGAAAGACTGTTGTATTTGTTTCTATTCTAATTTTTATAGAAGCTATGAAACATTGTAAACATAAATGCTCGGTTACTTTCAGATAATGTCTATGGTCAGTTCACGAACAAAAAGGATTTTGGCGGCTCTTATCGAAAATGATGAATCGAATAATGTTTATTCTGAGGAAGAAATCGGGTCTATGCCGATATCCATTATTTCAAGTGACAATATTTTTGATCTAGATGATTCCGAAAATATTTTAAAACTACTTTAGTAAATGAAGACGTAATCGAAATAGATCAATCAATTTTATTGTCTTCTAACAATTCGAGTCCTTATGAAAATGATGGTAACCATACTATGCAAGAAGAAATAAATGTACCAATAAGTACTGATAGCTCAAATGGGACAGAGGGTGTTCAATTTGAACAGGGATGCGATGTACAAGAATATTTTCAGTAGTTAGTTAATTACATGTCATACCTGCCAGGTTTCACGATGAATTCTTTAAATTAAAATGTAAGTCTTGTCTTCCAGATGAGTTAGCAGAAACTGATGCAGAGGATGACAATGAAGATGAAAGCTCCAAAACTTAAAAAAATATATATTTTTTACTAGTAAGAATTTCATATTTTCTTTTGTAACGTTATTTTGTGTTTCTTTTTTAATAATAAACGATAGTTTTTAATTCTTTCCAAAATATTTTAAGTGCTACAATTTGCCGCCAAACTGTGTACTTACGTTACATTTTTGATCAAGGCTTCGAGATTTCTGAACCCGTAAAGTAACGTAAGTATCAATTAACCACTAAAACTAATGGAAAACTTCAAAAATCATTTTTCTTAATTAAATATAGACCTCAGAGAAACACCCTGGTAAAGTTTGCACAATTTAAAAAAGTTTAACCAGGTTAAATTAAAAACACGTTTTTTATCCGAAATCGTTTTTGGCGACTTACGTTACTTTGGCAAATACCTATCGATATATACTTATTATATATTCATGAAAAATGAATAAATCGTGAAAAAGTAAAGTAAATACATAGAGAGAGAAGCCAAGCAGGAGGAGGATTTTTTTAACACGCCTTTATTAGCTTGGCCTGAATATGTTTGTAACGGAATATTTGAGCATAATTTTCACCAATTTCCAGAAGTTTGATTAATTTGAAACTTCGCACACGTATCAAGGACCGATGGAAATGCAATGATGTGATAACAGTTTTCCATTATCCTTATTCGTAAGTAAAATTCTATAAAAATCAGATATGTTAACAAAAAGCCAAGGATGTCAAATGCCGCTTTACGAATACTGAAACTACAAGTATGTGTAGCTCAGTGGCAGAGCACTTGTCTTGTTAACCAGAGGTCGTGAGTTCACTCCTCAGAGCACTCAGATTGTGGTAAACCTTTTTTATTATTTTATTATCTTTTAAACACGCTTGTATTAGCTTGGCCTATATATACCTATGTATGTATGTATGTAAAGGAATCTTGAGCATAATTTCCACCAATTTCAAGAAGTTTGATTAATATGAAACTTAAAATACGAATCAAGGACTGATGACAATACAATATTTGATGACAGATTTCCATTATCCTTATTAGGACCGCCAGGATTGATAAATTCTTTTATAGATCCTCTGTAGGGGAGTAAGAGAGATAGAGCTAGCGCGCGTTCTGCACATGCGTGCAGTTTCGGACTTTTGTTGATTCGGGCACTCGGTACAGAACAACTGAGGCAGGTACTACTGAGTATAATACACGCAAATTACTGTTTATAATATTCATATAATACGTAATATTCTATGGTGACCATGATTCACAAAAGGTTTCTTATTGACAACAAAATGATCAGAACATAAATTTCAATCTATTTATTTTAGGGAACCTTACTGATTAAAATGCAAATAACGGATATGAATTTAAAAAACAAGACCGTAACTTTAATTAACTAGATGTGTGGCAAATGGCTGATCGCGTCTTAGTTGTATCAGCATATTCCACGGTTACCTCTCTCCGTGCCAGGAGTGTGTCCCGATTACTTCTGTTTTAAGTACGATTCCTACATAGCTTTGGTTTTACAGTCGATAAAGGAGGAATTAATTATCATTATCGAATATGGAGAAAACTAATTGATAAATCGAACTAAAAGATTAAAGATAATTAATAGTCTAAAAAGTAGAAAATATTTTTTAATTAACAAAGAGTTTATATTACAGTACTTAGTAAATCGTCGAACAATCAATCATAACTAATGACCTCAAAATAAAATTATAAAAAAGTTTAAGTTATTAACATTTTATACTTTTTAGTTGGAGTAGCTATAATAGCTTGTTTTTTAGTTTTTTAAACTGTCATTTAATTGAGTAAGAGACAACCATGAACCCTATATTTATTTTATCCCAAAATACGAAGGCTCCTGTCATTATATTAAAGAGGTGTATATCGAGATGCATCCATCACTTTACGTCTCTTCCAGATTGTTGATTTTTTAAATGACGGTGTCGAATATTTGAAAGAAGGTGAGCGTGGTTATCTTATTTTTCTGGCAGCTCTCTTCCTATAGAAGAGTTGCTCCCGACGTCGTTATCGGAAGAAAAAGTGCAGAAGTCTAAAGACGAAGTTATTTTCGTGATGGAACATTTAGTGATATGAAGAACCCAGGAACATATTATTTTGCCAAGAATGGATACATTCACAAACTTGTTTGGCAAATTTCGACAGCTGTCAAAATCTGCAATCATTCCCCAGGGAAGAGAACCACGACTTTTTCCTCTCAGTGATTCTCGACCCTCTTTTTCAAGCATTGGGGTCTTGCGACGAATTTCCTCATGTAACCAGACCTTGGCCCATGTACAATCCATTCCATAAACAGGATATTGGTTCCATAGAAGTACATTAAAGTATTTAATACTAAAACATGCACAGACAATGAACATATCGTTGGCATATCATCTAACAAAAAGTTTAAATACCTGTGAAACTTTATATTTATATTCAATACAGGAAAACATAAGGTTAAGTTTTCGGGCTTCTATTGACTCTAAACAATTTGTTAGATGAAATTAGTCATTGGCTGTACTGAAAGGTGGTTTGATAAATGGCATAACCAATTCCTAGACTAGATATATTCTGGCTCTGGTACCATCTTAGTTTTATTATCCATCACAATTCATGAAAGCAATACTTATTCCTAATACTGTAAATAAATATTATTAAAAATTTCCATGTAACTCTCTTTTTCCTTCTTGTGATACTGTGGTTACTCGTAGTATATTTTAAATGGGAAAAAGGTACTTCTCTCAGCAAAAGTCGATAGTTCAGACAGGCACACAGAGTGAAAGGTGGATGTAATACAAATATTTTCAAAGGTTTCCAAGCCCTCATCCTCCGAGAAAATAATTTCTACACAATACTGTAATAGATATTATATCAAGATGGGAATGTATTTGCATGTTGCTTCGACGTTGAATACATCAAGAACTGTAGGCGGTACGGGAAACTATCATTGAAGCAAGGTAGATAATCTGGTTTTATCTAAAGTTACTCTTATTACTCTTTATCATAGGTTTACAGGATATTTGACGAAACGTCCCTCTACTGCCTTAGGAAGGGCACGGCTTAGGGGTCTAGTTTTGGGCTGTATAAATGGCAATGTCATTTGACGTTGAATATCTCGTTAACTGTTGATGCCCCAGTAAAATGTCACTTCTATACCTGTCTTCTGTTACCTTTTTTTAATAGGATTGATAGCTGACGAGTTGTTCGATCAAATGAATTTATCAAAGTGCTGGCTAATTCTCCAGCCCTATAGTAACCCCAACATGAACCATTTACGAATTAATTAAAAAGCAGTGTTCGAAAGATACCACACAAAAACCGCCGCACTTATTGCAGATCCTCTATTCCAAAATCGTCTTGTTTCCTGGCCCAATGGGTTTATTGGAACCATTTGTAAGAAAACAAGTAATAGCAAGGATAGAATATAAATGAAGACGGCATGCGGAAAGCAATATTTATTGGAATGTTTGAGCTAGAAGTAAAACTGGAAACAGTAGACAGAAAGAATGGCATACAGAAAGTAACTGAACAGGGTTACATAGCTAGACTGCTAAAATCGTTCTTTAGTTATATTTCTATCTCTCAGTCGAAGTCCTGAATCCGTCGCCCCCAATTCAAAACAGTGCTGAGGTGTATAAAATATAGAAAAAACTGAATCAACCTAAACTCATTAGATGCCATTATTTATAGCTGCTCTAACTAAAGCAAAACATAAAGTATTACCGGTAGACGGGTTGATCCCTCCATCCTGACTATCTGACCACCTTGCACATGCTTATTCTAATAAAAGAAATACCAATGTTCAACTTGTGAAGAATACAAAAATTCAATCTTGGAAGCAAAAGCAAAATTGCAAGATACTTTCGATCACCATATTGCAAACAAAATTAAAAGCCGAGAAGAAAAAGCTAAAGATGTAGCAGTTGCCAGAGTTAATCCAAAGATTATTGTAGCCTGTTTTAACCTGCAACCAGTGCTACCGACACCATGTGGAGACGTTTCAGCATTTTATTACAAGTGTCGTTTAAACTGTTTTAATTTCACAATTTTTGAAATTGCAACTAAACGTGGTCTGTGCTATTTTTGCCATGAAGCAATTGCCTCCAGAGGCTCTAATGAAATAGCAACATGCCTTTACAATTACATTTCTAGAGTACCTCCAAATTCCGAAATAATTTTTTATTCGGATAATTGCCTTGGGCAAAATAAAAATAAAATAGTTGTTTCCATGTACATATACGCAATATATCACACCAAAGTAAAAAGTATTACACATACATTTCTTACAGTCATACCCAAAATGAGGGAGACTTAATGCATTCTGTCATAGAAAAGTAAAAAAGAGAGCATTAAGAAGTGGACCAATTTTTGTTCCTCTCAATGGCCACCATTGATTAGAACTGTTAGAAAAGAAAGAAGGCCTTATGAAGTTAGGGAACTGGCTACAGAAGAATTTTACGATTTTAAACAAATTGCAAATGAATTTGGTCAAAACTTTACCAAGAATTCTAGCAACGAAAAGATTATATGGAATGACATCCAAGAATTTAAAGTTGAAAAACAAAGTCCTGGTAAAATATTTTACAAAGTTAATTTCGAAGATGAAATCAAAGAAATCGACCTGTCTTCACGAAGAGGTCCAAATTTGAAAAATACTGCCCTAGTCAATGCGTATGATATGCCACCTTCTTTGAAAGAAAAAAATAAAGAACATCCTTTAGCTTTATGTAAACAAAACTCAATTGAAAAAGTTCATCAACCATTTTATTATAATATTTGTTCATAAGTACAGTCTACAATCATTCAGTATATTTTGTATTAGTATTAAATAACTAATAAAACATTTTTTAAAGTTTTGTGATTTTTTTTTAATATTTTATCAAAATATTTTTACAAAACGCAGATATGGCGTCAAATAAAAATTAAAAATTTCAGTGCAATAACGCCACAACGTACAAAATCCTAATATTCTTTGCAGAATATAATTTTGATATATACAGGTTTATTTTAGCAAATTGTAAGTAAATAACGTCCAAATTTGAAGCAGATACATCCAACAGTTTTCAAATAATATTAATAATTACCGTAACTTGTTGCTTTACTTATCTGTATCTCAAAACTATTCATTTTGCATTTATGGCAGTATCCAACTTGTTGTAAGTTATTATGCAAACTTAATCTGAAAATTGCCAGATGCTTTCAAAGAGGAAAGTTAACAAGTGGCGTGGTGCTCCATTAGAATAACGCTCTCAGCCGTACCTGATGCACTGCTATGGATGCCCTACATCAAGTAGGCTATGGATTGGCAGATTAACCGTCGTACTCATCATTCCCGGCCGCCAGTAATTTCATGATGTTACCAAAATTAAACGACATTTACGAGAAAAGAAATTTTCAAATATCTACCATCTAGACAAAGGCAGTGATGATGGGGGAGCCTCGGTGGCTCGGTGATCAGCACGTGGAGCTACCAATCTGAGGCTCGCGGGTTTGAATCTCCGCCTTGAAAGTTAGTCCCTTGTCATGGATGTTGTGTTGTGTATATCACGCACGGGGTTGGCAAAAATGGTAAAAGATGGCCTAGTTGCCAGGCTTCTCTTCCATACCACTACTACTAAAGCTTTGATGTGAGGAGGACTTGAATTACAAGATAAAACAGAAATTTAACGTAGCTTTATAGCAAGGCAGTGAGATATGGAGCACAGGGATCGTACTTAACTAACTGAAAAGCAAAATACATGCGTGCTTATATAAATTCTGACATAATAAACGATGTTCCAATAAAACGTCACATAACACTAAATTCGCATGTCAGGTGGCAGTAGAGGTATG